AAAAAAGAGAGAGAGAGAGAGAGAGAGAGAGAGAGAGAGAGAGAGAGAGAGAGAGAGAGCGACCTTGAGTCATTTGGAGCTGATTGACCTGAACTAGACCTCGAACCTAACTATGCTAGTGCGATTATTAATCGTCATCATCACCGACACCACCAAGATGATTCCTCTGGCCAGGGGTATGCGTGATTCTCCCATGAGTATACCCCGAGCTTTTCTTGTTCGAACGGTTGCTGTAACCCCACGCGAAAAGTTTGTCGAAATCACGACATTGATGAGTAGCGCCCATCCCGTTGATCCCGGCCTCAGTGAGAGGCTCAAAGGTAGCGTCGCCAGCGCACATGATGCCCTGTCGGATATAGTCCAAGCAGTGGTCACGATGAAAAGCGACTTCTTCCGCAGGCATATCCTCCACGGTGTCCGGCCAGTACGCGAATCTCAGAAAGTTGAGACAATGGAGTTGATGGAACATGGAGATTCCGTACACTGTATGGGTATCTGGGTTGTGTGGTGCTGGGAGAGATTTTGGCAGGTTTGCTGTGTATTCGTTCGGTATTTCCACGATGCCATCTCCTGGAGGGGATAGTCGCTCCCACATCTCGTCGGTTTTATTGCTGGGCGGTCCACCCATATACCAATGGGGCTGGAAGGTGACTTTGCTGTTGTACAACACTGACAAAAGGTCAGCAAGTGGCCACCACACAGAGATATCGAGGTGAGCTTACAGTCCTGCTCAAATCTAGCACCTTCTGGACATGGATTGCAGTATAGGCTTTTGACGAGTACATTCACATGTGCCCAGGTAGCCACTCCGCCGACGAAAATGATCATGTTGAGAATTGTCGGCAAGGACCTGTATTTGGATCGTCGAGGCGAATACGGGACATTGCTCGCTTCATGATCTTTTGCAAGGAGGTACTGCTTGTCATCTTCCATGATCGGCTTGAGGTTCGATGGGCTCTTTCTTTCTTGATGTTGATGTAGATGAGTCGAAGTGACGCCTGTGGAGTGATGAGAGGTCTTCCAGGGCGTGAAGACAGCAGCAGCAGCAGCACTATGCTTTTGGACACCACGGATATGTGGATCGCTCGCTACCAGCATATTTGAGAGAAGCAACGCGCATCGAGCTGAATTGACACATCCCGAGTATCCTGGCGAAGGGCTATAGTTTCGGCGTCCGGACTGTCGGGTTGTTGCCAACGGAGAGCAATTTAGGTTCGGGCTGTTGCCAACGAAGAGCAATGTAGGTATAGAAACAGCATCCTGTACCTGCTATCTAGCCGATAGTGGCCGCGATACGCGTGCAATGCCGACCGGAAAAAGGTTACGGCCATGGGCAATGGTGATAACCTTACCTCTTCACTACCTCGTCAAATCTGATAATTCGTGACTGGATCTCCTTCGCTCAGCGTTCCGAACACATCGCTTTCCGCGAGCTCCATGATCATGAAGTCTGCCCAGCACCGCTCAGCCTCGACGGACTACGAAGCTGGTCTCCGGCCTCGTGTACGGGCAATCTCGACTTGCTTACAAGGTGGTATATAAGCTTCAGGATCGGGCTATTGCGCTAACTCCTGTTTCTGCTCCAACGCTCTGTTCTAGTCCACCAAATCACGAAACTACACTTACCCGGGCACGTATACTGGCGGGCAATCATGTTCACGAGCAAGTTTTCTGGACTGTATCCAGCCATGACAGTTCTTGCACTGCTATGCTGGAACCGATTGGAAAGTCGCGAATGGCCGGAATTCAACGATTTGTTCGAAAAGAGTAGAGTCGCGATAGCTCAGTCGATTGCTCCGCAGCAGCCACTGGAGTTGAGCAATAATTCGACCTTTACTCAGATGGTGGCACAGTACGCCGCGGGCTGCCCAACGCAGTTTACCAAGCCACGCGTCTTCTCTCAAGATCCCCTCATGGTGTACATCGAGGACTACTTGTCGCCAGCCGAGGCAAAATATCTGCTCCACGTAGCCGAAGGGCGCTGGGATGCATCGCCTATCTCGACAAGATCTCAAATCAAGGGGTACGATCCAGAATTCCGCTCATCACTGACGGCAGTGCTGCCAGGTGATCCGGTCGTGAACTGCGTGGAGGAGCGTGCGGCGTCGACCCTGGGCTTCCTCCCGGTATCGCATGTTGAGCCCAGTCAAGCAGTGAAGTACGAGATCAGCGAGCACTTCCGGCCGCACTTCGATTGGGTGGACGGAATGGCAAATCCACGTAGCTACACACTGTTCGGCTACCTGGCCTGCGATGGAGAAAATGGCGAAGGAAGCTGTGTAGGGGGTAACACACAGTTCCCAAACTTCTCGGGGCGCTTTCCAGCAACTTGGTGCAAAAAGTTCGTGGACTGCAATGACGAATCTGGCCTTGGTGGTGTCGCCTTCAAGCCTGTGGTAGGCAATGCTCTCTATTGGTCCAATTACTATCCCAACGGAACTGGACATCCGGGAAGCTACCATGCCGGCATGCCAGTTAAGGTTGGGCGCAAAATAGGGCTGAACCAATTTGGCAGAAGGGATCCATGGGACAGCGAAGCTTTCTTAGATCCGTGAGGCAGAGAAATGGGGACACACTGCGCGTCTGCCACCAATTTGAGCCATAGTCTTCAGTCCTAGTTGAACCGTATTCATCCGCATTCTTTCAGCAGTTTCTCCTTCTATCTCTTTGAATGTAATCGCATTGCACGTATGGGGGGCAATTCTTCGGTCTTCTCGCTCGTATGGGCGAAATGCTTATGCCGTGATACCAATATAGAGAAGATCCGCTACCTCATAGCTATGCGTAGCAAGTCGTAGGCGGTAAACGCCTGCTGCATCTTCAGCGAGAGAGGGCGACGTGACGGCCCGTCCCAGGATGCGATTATCGAGGAGCCGCAACTCGTATCCCAGGAGAGCGAAAGCGAATGAATGTCACGAACATGGCTAGGCGGGCGGGAGTCCGTTATAGCAAACCAGGAGACCGGAAGCTCATGTGAATACGAACATGGCTGGGCGCGCGGAAGTCCGCATTGGCAAGCGGGTAGCACTCCCCGACATCACCATCGTGTGTTACCATCGGCCAGCGTGCCGTAGTATGCTCTCGTGCACCGAGCAATGGAAAATCGCGAGCTGTCGATGCAAGACAAGGCACTACCACCCGACTATGGCCACACCATCGTGCTGTCAGGTGGACAATGATGGACCGCGCATGAGGCCCAGCTATACGAGGGCACTAACCATGTGTTCACGAACGATGACCAGCCGGGCAAGCCAGTGCACTCTCCGCGCAATATCGTACACCGAGCGACGGCATCCTGTTAGCGGACACGAGTAAGACAGTCCATATATAAAGAGTCGGTCGTCTGCATCTGCTGGACCACATCAACCAAGCAATCATCTCACCAAACAATCATCTCACCGAACAATCATCTCACCAAGCAACCACCTCAGCAGGTGACTATTGAGCGCTTCGTAGGTGAACATTCTTGTCGTTTCCTCAAACCACGAAGGAGCTAGCTGACGATATTCTCTTCAAGAATCCTCTACAAAAGCAGAGACTTTAAAATGAAGTACCAAACTGCTGTAACCGTGGGCACATTGATCGCCTCTGCCCAAGGCGCTGCTCTGACTAAAAGAGACGCGGAGGCAGCCGAGCCGGCCTATGTCTGGAGCTCTAGCAAGAGAGACGCAGAGGTAGCCGAGCCAGCTATTATCTGGGCCTCTAGCAAGAGAGACGCAGAGGCAGCCGAGCCGGCCTATGTCTGGAGCTCTAGTAAGAGAGACGCAGAGGTAGCCGAGCCAGCTATTATCTGGGCCTCCAGCAAGAGAGACGCAGAGGCAG